CAGAACACTGTACAAAGCTCCAGAAGGCTGCTGACCAGTTTTTGCTGCTGGTTTCCAGTTTACAGCAACAGAGAGCGAGAAAAAGGCATGGCAAAGTATTTTCAACATATGTGTACATGACCACTCTCCCCATCATTACACAAGCTCCAAGGAGTCTAGTCCTCGATCCTCGTGTCACCAATCACGTATCTCGATGCATGATGGCCGAGGAGTCGGATTGCACGACTCGATGTAAAATGAATGCACATATAAACACAACAAGGCCTAAACTCCATCATGGGTAATTTGGAGTGTCGGCGACCGAGAATCGAGGCACGTTTCGTCACTTGGAGTATGAAACATCCCTCGTTTCCCGTGTTTGGACTAAACCCTATTCCAAACACAATGCAGTAGACATGGCATACACAATATGACTAGCATGCAACCCTAAACGCAATGTAACCTAATCATGCTAGCATGCGAGGGATGATATGCAAACATGCAACTAGCATACACAATGCTATGAACTAAGAATGGCATACTCAATGCACATAAACTATATGGCATACATAATGCACATACGAAGATGGACATGCACGAAGACATGAACAAGGCAAACACAATGAGACAATCAAGCATGCGACAACATGGATATGGCATACATAATGCAAGATGGACTTAAACTAAAATGAATGGGCTTTAGCCACACTCAAATCAGTGGCCATACATGATGAAAATGAAGCAACAACACATATGCAAACATGCACAAATGCAAGGGGCCAAACCTAAGGCACAAAGTGCAACTCCACCAAAGCATGGTAAGCATGAAATATGGCATACAATCACATATTTTCCAGCTTTGAAATGACATGCAAGATGGTCTCGAATCATGCAAACACTTCACACAATGCATGCTAGATGGCCCAAATACCGAAACTAGTGAAGTGGATTACACTATAGGCATGCAAAGCAATACTCAAATGGCCAAACCAACCCCAAACAGTCCCTATGCAGGCCAAAACAGTAGCAAATATGGACTAAAATGATGCTCGCAAATCATGGAAATGAAGCTCATGCAATGGTCCAAAAATGAGGTGTTCATGCATAACTCTCAAACACATTTAAAGAGTGGAAAGCATGGGAATATGGAATACATATAAGCTCTAAAATATGATTCACAATGATGCCAAAATATGGAAACACCTCAAAATACACATGCAATAGGCTTCAAAACTCAAAGCTAGGCAAGGGTATTGAACTACAACCATGAATAGCAAACATCATTCGACCATGAGGCCTACAAAAAAAGCTAATGAAGTCCAAAACATGCACAAAATTAGTTTAGAACATGGCCAAAATATGCTAGAATCAAAGGCCAAAACAACATGCATTACAAGCTAGTGAAGAGGATTTACACTACAAGCATGTGAAGCATTCAAGAGGCCACTAAACCAGCATAATAAAGAGGTATGACATGCCAAATAAATCCCAAAAATCCACTGAAACATGGTCAATGCATGCAAGAATGACATGTTCCTTTGATAAGCTATGAAGAGGATTGATCTACACATGCAAGGTGGACATCCAATATGACAAAATTAGCTCTGGAAAGAGCTTATTCAGGTCCTAAAAACCACCAAAAAATGCCTGAAACAAGGCTTGGAGGCATGCAAGTATAGGCTCCTTTGTTAGGCCAAATATGCTAGAAAACAAGACAAGGGGAGAGTGGGTCACCCCTCTCTGATTTTGGCTCTCAAAATAGCCTATTAACCACTGAAAATCTGCTGGATTTCAGTGGTCAAAAGGCCAAACAAAGATCAATATAAAGGCCTTCATGTATGGCTCAAAACAAGACAAAACGAAGCATGCAAGGGGGTAGATGACCCCCAACAACAAAGTGACCTTAAACAAACATGAAAAGGACCTCAAAACAAGACTTTTTTTAGTTTACACCAAAGCTCAAATAAGCCTGAAAGTATGGCTAAAAGATGGAGCAAAATAAACCTCAAAAGAGGGAATAGGGTGTTACCCTTGTAGCTCAGCAACTCCAGCAGCTTATGGACCAAAAATGCAGCTCCTTAGGACCTCTCAAGACCCTCCGAGAAGCTTAGGTTGGTGTTGGAGGTGTTAGGCTAAGAGGTAGTGTGCAAAGGTGCAAGAACCAAGCACTTTCTAAGCCTAAGTGTAGAGATATAGAGAGGGAGATATACTTTTCCTTCAACAAATTTCTGAACGCCCCCCCCAGGAAGCAGAGAGCCTCTCTTATAGATAAAGGAGGCCAAAGCTTCTCCAAGAAGCTAAAAACCAAGGCCAAAGATCCTCCATACACGTGTATGGAGGATGCAGTCTGTGCTTTCCAGCTGGCACAGCTGGCAACAACTCACAGAGACAAAACAGGAGGAAAGGGACCGACCAGTTCAGGTGATCGACCAGCCAATTTAGGTGGTCGGCTAGCCAGTTCAAAAGGGTCAACTCAACAAAAGGTGGTCGGTAGCCTCATTTGGTGGTCTCCTAGCTAAATGCAAGCTAATGGTGTAGTGGGAGACCAGCAATTGTGGCCCAAAAATGAGGGAGACCAGTTACCTAACAAGAAAACCGGCTAGCGGGAGAAAAGTGGTTTCCAAGGAGAAAAGGTGGTCTCCCACCCTTGTACCACCTTCCAAACAATGAAAACAAGGTCCATGCCAAAAATGAACCAAGACAGATGCAAAACGAGGGTTCGGGGGTCAAAACGCGCAGTCGGGTGCCCCGAAAACAGGCCGTTAAGCATCGAAAGTGGCGTGCGACCACAAATGTGGTCTCCCGGGACATAGTGTCCCTCTAGAGAGAGGAAGCAAGGTGTGTACCAAAAACCGGGCCAAGCGGAGAAAGTTAAGCGGTCCCGAACCGAGGCGCGCGGCTGACGGCTCCGAAAACCAGAAACTAGTCTCCAAACGGGAAAAATGGCCTACGACCATGAAAAGTAGCCTATGGCCACTGAAAGATGGTCTATGAGACCTCTCCCTCCCTTCGGGAAGAGAAAACAAGACTTGGTTTGCAAACCGAGGCAAAGCACAAAAGGGTCCCGAGGTCCGGGAGTAAGGCTCTCAGCCAAATTCCGAAACTTCAGAATGAGCACAACATGCACCATCACCAAGTGCTCAATCGATGACGTCTGAGTCTTAAGGTCGGTTAAAAATGGTGTGTCTACACTCCGCCAAGAAGTCTTCAACTTTATCCAGATGGACACATTCCAAATAGGGCCCGGAAAGAGATTTTTTGTAGAGCTTGCCTTAAGGGTCCAGATAGTACCTCAAGGCCTTGTTACGTAGCTTGTGAGCTTCTTTTCTATCTTCAGGCAGTTTGTCTGAAGAAAGGAATGCTGCAATACGGTCCATCCAACTTGGACCCCTCTGAATGACATTGACAGTATGGGGCTCGAAGACATTGATGCTCAGCTCTGGTAAGAAACCCATTTCAATAGTTCACTTGACTTCGGAGTTGACAGATGATGCCAGACAGGTGAGGGCATCAGCATGTATATTCTGGTCCCTGATGATCTGATTAAGTTTGTGGTGATTGAATTTTGCAAGCAAAGTGATAACCATCCTCACGTAGGTTGCTATGCGGTCATTTTTGGCTGCGTACTCCTATTTTAATTGATTGATGACTAATTTTGAGTTGCAAAACACTTGTGCTCGTTTTGTTCCCATTTTCAGTGAATTTCTGAGGTTGACCAACAGGGCTTCATACTTGGCCATGTTGTTGGATGCGTTAAAGCCGAGTTTAATAGACTGTTCGATCACTGCTCCTTTCGGTGTCATGATCACAACCCCAGCCCTGCTACCCCACTGATTAGATGATCCATCGCCATACAATTACCAAATATTGCCAACGTACATTCGCCATTGTGGCGATAGACTTGGAGCCAACTCGGGCCAAGGTTCTGACTTTGTCTGTACGGTGAATTCAGCTACAAAATCTGCCAAGCCTGTCCTTGGAAAAAATTGAATATCTTACTGTCTGAGTTCCACTGCCCATTGGAAACTCGTCCAGACGATTCTGACTTACGAAGGACTAATCGAAGGGGATGATCTGTCAGCACTTTGCTCATGTAAGCTTGGAAATAATGCATCAATTTCCTTAAGGCCACTACAGGAGACATGATTAATTTCTCCAGGAGCAAGAACCGAGTCTTGGCATCCACCATTTCCTTGCTAACATAAAAATGGATTTCTGTTTGTCAAGTTCTTCCTTGAGCAAAACGACACTGACTACCCGATTAGAGACTGCCAAATATAGGATGAGCATGTCTCCTGGTGTAGGGATTGCCAGAAGTGGGGCAACACCGACATAATCTTTCAAACCATCTAAGGCGGTCTAACACTCCGGGGTCATCGAAACGACCTTCCCTGACGAAGTGTTTGGAAGAACGGCCTACATTAATCCGAAGACCAACTGATGAATCTGTTGAAAGCTACGGCTAGTTCCATGAGCTTTTGAACTTCTTTGACTGATTCCGGCGAACCAAGCTCTAAGATGGCCTTAATCTACTTTGGGTTTGCCTCGATCCCCCAATGATTCACTACGTAGCTGAGGAATTTCCCTAACCTAATGCCGAATGTGCACTTGGATACATTAAGTTTCATTCAGTATTTGCGAAGAATATCGAACGTCGTGGCAAGGTCGGTTAAATGGTCCCCCTTTGCTTCGGACTTTACTACTATGTCGTCAATGTAAACCTCCATTGTCTTGCTAAGTTGGTCTTTGAACATGGTTGTAACCAATCTTTGATAAGTTGCGCAAGCGTTTTTTAGTCCAAAGGGCATAACCTTATAACAGTAGGTTCTCCTTGGTGTTAGGAACACTGCCTTATCTTGATCAGTAGGATCCAAGGCAATTTGATGATAACCCTTTTAAGCATCTAGGAAACTCATGTGCTGATGTTGGGCAATTATATCCACAAGTTAATCAATTCGTAGTAGGGGGAAGTAGTCTTTTGAGCAGGCCTTATTTAAATCTATAAAGTTCATCCAGACACATCATGACCCTGTTTTCTTCTTCGCCACAACAGTGTTAGACAGCCAAGTGGGATAAGCAACTTCCCAGATTGCTCCAGCCTCCAGTAACTTATCAGCTTCATCAATTACGGCTGTGGTATGTTCTGCGCCCGAGTGACGAATTATTGGGATAATCGGCTTAGCCTTTGGATTGACATTCAAGCTGTACATAGCGACCATTGGGTCAAAACCTGCATGTCATAGTGCATCCAAGCAAAGATGTCGATGTAGCCGAGAAGAAATGATTCCAGCTCTTGTCGTTCAGTGGTATCCAGACCTGCACCGATCAGGAAGAATTTGTGAGGATCCCCATTGATCGTTATTCATTCCAGGTCCTTCGTTACTTTATCAGCCGGAGTTTTCTTGACATCTTCTAAGCTTTCTTGATTCAAAATTTTGATTAAGTTCACTTCCAAGTCTTTGGGCTTTTTGATCAAGGCTGAAAGGTAACAATCTTTCAAAGACCTATGGGAGCCACAGATTTGCTCAATTTCGTGCCAAGTTGGAAAGTGGAATAACTGGTGGAAAGTACTTGGTATTTCTTGTATCGCGTGAAGCCATGTTCGGCCCATGATTATGTTGTAAGGCGAAGGGAGTTTAACGACCGGGAATTCAACTTCCAGTGTTTTGGTGTCCGTGTGCACTAGTAGCACAATTTTCCCGAGGGGATATTCTGAATTAGTGTGAAGGCCAAAAAGAGGGTACTCGACGGCAAAAGGTCTGCATCATTCAAGTTGAGTTAGAGGATTTCTTTGTAATAAATTATTTCAAAAGTACTTCCCCAGTCAATTAGGGCGCGCTCGACGACAAACTTGTTAACACGCAGCTCAATTATAAGGGCATCGTCGTACAGAATGGTGACTTCTTCGAGATCTGCATTTGAAAAGCTGATCTCATTTGATAAATGAGGCCATTTAGTTGACTTGTCAGACTAAGGGTTGGAGCTAGAAGGCCACAGCTAAACCAAGTTTATGTTGTTGGATGAGGATATGTTGTATATCACGTGGATCACGCTGACGGGTGGTGAGTCAGGATGTACAGTGAGCACACCTGGTGGGTTCTCCGTCTTGGGAAGGAATTCGACCAATCGACCTCCTTGAACCAACTTTTCCAAATGATCTTTCAAAGCGTAGCACTTGTTGATTATGTGTCCATAGTCTTTATGATACTCGCATCTCTGATCCCTTTGTCTCTTGTTGGGTGGCCTGAACAGTTTACTTGGCCATCTGAAGAAAGGCTGATGTTGTATCTTGCTCAAAATTTTACCGATTGGTTCAATGAACTCTGCATATTGTTTCTCTAGCTGCTGTGGGCACCTGCTCGCCAACTGGTACAACTCATTTCGTTGACGTGATTCCTGACGGTGATCTCTCCTAGATTGGCACTTTGTGTCCGGGCTCCTTTTCGGTAGGGTTCTTTCTGGTGGCACTACAATTAAAGGCTGTGCCATGACGGGTGTTATCGATTCATCTACTTGCAAGCCCACTTTGAGCCAAATTGCGTCATCTTCCACTTTACAATACTTTTCAACTTTTTTCATCAAGAGGTAAACTGTTTTAGAAGGGCTCTGAGTTAACAAGCTCCTGAGCTGGCTGTCCAGATGCAACCCCATTTTATAAGCCATGATTGCCATGGAATTGTTGCAGTCATCATCTACCAAATTAAAACATTCCCAATAACAAGCTGAGTAGTCACTTAAGGTTTCTCTATATTTTATCTTCATTGTCCAAAGAGAATCTGCTTGCTTTGGTTGGGTTTCATTCGTAATGAATCTGGCTCTGAAAGACTTTTGGAGCTGATAGAAACTTTTGATCGAAGCTGGTTCGAGTTTGTAGTACCATCTGACGATGAGCGGTCCCAAGCTGCTGGGCAATATCCGGCACATGAGTGCTTCATCATCTGCATGTAATGTCATAGCCTTCTTGTAATGATGAACATGATCAGTAGGATCTGATTTCCCATCGTACAAAGTGAACGAAGGCGCTTTAAACATCTTGGGCAAGACAACTTTGGTTATACGTTGTATGAAGGGATCATGCCTATCTTTCAGATCTGAATCATCATCTGTTCTTTTACAGTCACGGCATACTCTCATACTCCCATCACCCACTTGACCTCACTTTCTGGGTTCATCATTCGATTGTGGCGGTGTACTGCTTACATCGCCATGCCTTAGACACTGGTGCCTCTGTTTGGTTTTCATTTTTGGTGACTAACTCTGTCCCCATGCGATATACTGGGATTCCTTTAGCTCTTGGCGTAAGCGTTTGTTATCAACCGCCATGTTTTCTAAGCGTTGCTCGATGCACTTTACTTGACTGATCGGGGTTTGCATGGCATCTTCTACCGATGTTGAAGGTAGTGAAGGAGTTACTGGGTCAAAGTTCAGAGATCTCCTTGCAGGGGTTTCTTCGGGACCGAAGACTGTTCCCGGTGGAGTACTGTCTCTTGTGACCGAACGATTTTGAGTTAAGTCTGCCATGGACAGGATTGAGTATTCCCATACACGACACCAATTGTGGAGATGTAGATTTGGAAACACTTCTTCAATCCAGTCAAACCCTTAAGATCCTTATGTTGTCACCTGAAACAAAAACGAACTCTCCGGTCGATGGTGTCGGAATTAGCACTCCGACAAGCAAGTTAGCTTTTCGAAAAGAATCATGTAATTGTTTCTTAAAGGCTTAAGTTAGCTATTTTTTTCTTACCCCCTTTCGCTGAGCTCTGCTTCACCTTTTATAGTGTCATCCTTCTCGACCCTCGTTCCACGCAACCTTGCCCTTCATCATTACCCTCTAGGGCCCATTTTCATACTATACTTTTCAATTGAAATCTTCATCCCACTAAGTGGGCCCCTATTGATCTGTGCTCTTCGGACTTCCCCGCATGCCAAAAATGTTCCTGCCCACTATGCTCACTCAGCGTTCGATGATCACCCAGCCCAACGGGCTTGGGCTTTATTTGGCCCATATTGAATGAGCTGGGCTACTCCATTTCATATGAGATACAATTCCTATTCGGATCTCACAAGAACAATACCTTAAAGTTGTAGAACCACAATATGCTAGAAATTTCTCTTTCTCTCTCTCTCTCTCTCTCTCTCTCTCTCTCTCACAATCTCTCACGGCTACTATAAATCCTAAACTGGCTGTTGCTGTGTTGTGAAATAATAAGAGAGTAAGGTTTTCTCATTTTAGTTATGCCTATAAACTAATAGAATGAAATAATTATTTTTTTTTAACAACCTAGTAATAAAACAATTTAAAAATTTATATAGATTGCGATAGTGTTGATTGTTGTGAAAGTAATAGTGTGAATCATGGTAGTTGTGGCAGTGGTGGTGGCGGCGGGCAAGGATATCAGTGGTGCTAATAGCACTGGTATTAAGATGGTAGCGGTGGTGGTGGTAGGTCGTTGTGGCATTTGTGATGTCCCAGGTCATTGACCCGACTTGTTGTGTCTATTCAGAGCCTTGTATATGTCACACCCAAACCCCAAGCATGATCGGCTATGGCCCACAAGGCCTTAGCCCAAAGCACACGTAAGCCTAAACACGAATCATTAATCACATAGAATAAATGTAAGAATGGTCCAGAAATAAATAAATCCAAACTCAATCCAGTGACATGCCACAAGTATGAATGGCAAAACCAACCCTAATCAATACCATTCAAACCAATGGGACATAAACAACCCACATAACAAAATAATCCTAAATGATTCTCAATCAAAAAATATGCACAAAATTGACATAACAATTTGAAAAATAAACCTAAAAAAAGAAAAATGAATGTCCTAGAGGTCTATGCAATTAGGTCCCCGCTATGCCATGCATCCACTCTAAGTCCTTCTATCACTTGTAAATGATAAACAACTAAATCAGCTGATAGCTCAGTGAGTAGAAACATGGATAGTAATATCGTTTTGAAAATAGGGTTCAATTCCAAAATAAGATATATATCACAGAAACTAGATTGACATACAATTTTGATACAAACAATTTGTTTCAAAAATAAGGTTCCACAGTTCAACGGTTAAATTACTCATGTCTCTCAAGAACATAACAAATAACATTCTCCATTTAAAATAAACAATAACATAATCACTATCATAATCTGGGTACCAAGAATAACAAGTAACATGCCACAAAGTTCTCAAGGCAATAAGCCAATTAGATCCAACATCGAACCAAGAGTCATTCTCGGGGTGGCTACCCAGGCCTTTTCTCTAAGACGATCCGATTGAAGGTCACCTAGCCCAGGTCTTTTCCTTATAATCATTGAGCACTAGAATCATCACATTCCAACCCGGATCTGTTCCCTAGTGACCAGAGTCACCACACATGGTGGAATAAATTCTCTAGACTTTTATATATAGATGGTCCGAATAATCAGTACAATTCAATTTCGCAAAACAAATTAGTTCACCATTATAAACATGAGACAATTTTACTATATTCCAAGTTTACACATGTTTCAGAAACAGTTTAATTCCATTGATAAATAATGATTTTATCAAAACAATTTAGTTCTAAACTAAAAATTTAATTTTCCAACAGTTCAGGGTAAGGGAACATTTAAAAAAATATGTAGCATGCAACTACTCACTTGAAAATGGAATAATGTAGTATAGAATATAAAAGTCCAACTAGTGTTCGAAATCAAGTATGAAAACTGCACATGACTACTAATTTAAAAAATACTAAAGAATAAGAAACTAAGTAACCCTAAGCTAAATCACACTATCACGGCTCAACCCAACTCACTGTCACTCTTAAATAATACCTAAGTTCATGTTCTTTAAGGTCTCAAATTACCCAAGACATGGGTTCAAATCAAAACATAATTAATTGTGACTTTGAGATAAAACAGAATTTTTGAAAAAAATTTCCATTTCCAAATCCAAGGGAACCCATTACACCCTTTTTCTTCTTCTTCTTCTTCTTCTTCTTCTTCTTCTTCTAATCAATACACCGAAACATCTATACACAATAATCATACATATACTATATTATAGTAGAACAATACCTTAAAGTTGTACAACCACAAGATGCTGGAAATTTCTCTCTCTCTCTCTCTCTCTCTCTCTCTCTCTCTCTTTTACAGCTGTTATAAATCCTAAAGTGGCTATTGTTGTGTTGTGAAATAATAAGAGGGTAGGGTTTTTTTTCCCTCTTTTTTATACATAACATAAAAGACTCTAAATAGTTATCTTTATCTTTTGTTTTATTTTACCTTCTCTCTCCACTAATTTAAATAAAATACAATTATTATTAGATCAAAATATACTTCCTAATTTGTCCCCTAATTTTTTTTAATAATAAATCTTGCCTCAAAATTAAAGACTTTCATCATAAATTTATTTCAGGTTTAAAAGCAATTAAAGGATCATTCAATAATATCTAATTTGCACTTTATGTGACATTTTGTTCTAGGTGAACACTCGAGCGATGAAAGTACTGCTCGAGCGAAGATAGAGGACATCCAGTAGTTTTGCAGGTCAGAGTGGACCGCTCGAGTGACTATTAGTTTGCTCGAGCAAAGATGCAGGACTTTCAAAATCTCATTTTGCAGACAAAAATACTGAGAAGCCTTGTTCACCGCTCGAGCGATGAAAAGACCGCTCGAGCGGTTTACGCGAATTAGATTGAAAAGGGCATTTCTTGATCATTCCATTGACTTTTGTTTTCTGTCTTCCTCATTCTTGTCTCAAGCTTGAAAAACCCTAGGTTTCTTGCCCTAAATACTCCTCATTCCTTTAAGATCCAGTTGAAATCATTTGCAAAGAGTGAAGTACAAGTGAGATCTTCCTTCCTACAGATTGGATTTCGTTTTTACTAAGGATTCTCCTAGAAATCTAGCTTTCTTGCTTTTTGCTTGAGGTAGGGTTACTTTTAACTTCTTTGTTTTGAAGATGATTATATGGTATTGTTGTGACTTTATGCCTTAATTTGATGATTGAGTTAGATTAAACCTTGTATTTCACAAAAAGGGAAATTTTACTCAACTTCATTAAAGTTTCATCTAATTTTCCATATAACATGAGTAATAATGTTGAGAGTAAAGGTATATATAAAAAGGGGGAGGAAGCCCCAAATTTCTTAAAAACCCTAATTTGAATTTGGTAGAGAATGATACTTGGAAGGGAATTTCCTTAAATTCTTGGAATTTTGTGAATAATCACAATGTGGCAAATATAGATATTGTCGTGGTGTTGAAATTGTGAGTTGGGGATTGAGGTTCTTTGAATGTTATAATTGTTCCTTATCGCGTATAATGTTAAATGCTTGTTTACTTGGAACAAAGTTGAGTAAGGTGGTAAGGTGAATAGGAGTCTGGGTTAAGAGTCAGCTTTAAGTATGTAGTGTTGTGTTGGTACCCACGCAAGGAGTTGAGGTGCCTAATTGCCCTATTTGTGCTTATCGCTAGACAAATGTGGAAAAATATTTTTGGGTGTCCACTGGTCCTACCATATTGTAGTCAGCAAAAGTGAAAAAAAATAGATGATTTTGGGTGTCCATGTCCTGCCATATTGTAGTCGACAAATATGGAAAAACATAGTTTTTGGGTGCCCATGTCCTGCCGTATAATAGGCGGTAAATGTAGGGATGATATTACATGAAAGTGACTTATGCTTGTGGTTCGGACTCTTGTAAGGGACTCTTGGTGTATTTCTCTTTCTAATGTTGAGAACGGTTTTGTGTGGGATAAAGACATACTTTACTTTTTCTTTATCTATCAATGTCAATTATTTTATGTTGTTTTAGTTGTAACGGTGCCATGTGCTTATTCAAATGATTAGATGCTTGGTTAAATGTATTCCTACTGGGCATATAGCTTAACCCTATCTGATTTTTCAAGAATTGGTGACACACCACTACAATGACTTGAAGTTGTACTTTTATTTTGCTGGGAAACTGGGTCTAAGAAATTTGAGTGTAGAAGTATGGAGTTTTGTGTCAAACATTGAAATTTGTTTTGTGGTATTTGATGAAACCTAAAAACTTTTGTATGCCTTAATGGCGATTTTTTTTTCTTTTTTTCTTTTTGGTTTAGTCTTCTAGATTATTGAACTTACTCAAGGACATGGAATGGG